AAACTGCCGTCAATTTCCTTACACCAATATTCCTCACATGAGCTGGTTCACATGAACTCGGCGGTATAGGCCTACACTAAATGCAGATTACACTGCTCTGAATATACTTCATGGTAAGCGAGAGATAACGCTAAACACTTTGAACCTCTGAAGCGTGTTTACACTCGTTTCGAGCACAGATAATCCCGTATAAAGCACAGGAGCACCAATATGCTGTCGTAGATTGTAAGATGGTCTCACTCGGCCGACTATCATACTCAGGACCGGGGCAAGGGCAGCTGGTCGGCATTCGAGGAATTTGTTGGCGTCGCTCGAAGGCAGCACGAAACCACGTTCCATTGGTAGCACTCGCAGTCGTTTGTCGTGTCGTTGTTGTAGATGACGAAGCGGCGATTCAGGCACGTTTGGAGTAGTTTTGTGCTTGCGCCACACACTCGGCGGTACGTTCGAATAAGTAGTCAATAGGTATAGCATTCGGACCATTGCGGTCTCTGGTTGGTTGTCACCACCGTACGCTTGGCGACGTAGTGGAAAATATCAAGCTTAGTTTGATCCCCCGGGCTTCACAGCGTCTCGTGCCTCGTCGCGTATGCCCCTCCTATGCCAATGTCGAGAGGCGCATTTGATGATTTTGACACGTAAGCGTGAGCATACGCGCGGCAATGGTTGGAACTTAAGGTTTCTAGATGGAAGATTGTTTTTAGATCATGCATGTTGGCAATATGAGATTCGTGCAAACGAACCACTGCTACCTTTTAGCTCGTCCCATTCTAAGGTGCTAAAACGTAGCATCGCTACTTTGTGCCTGCGGAATGCTTTTAAGAAATCTTGCCCATACAGGCAGTTGACAGTTTCCTCAAGAAGGTTGATCGTCCTGACCCACAGACCATATCTGTGGCAGGAAGATGTTGAAAAAAAAGAAACGCGAGGCCTGCGCGGAAGGCGCAGCACAGTCATATTGAAAGCTAGAAAAGCGGGATTTCAGAGCCTTTTTTAAACACTCATTGAGTAACAGCTGCGAGTTATAAATAGTAATTTCTGGGCAGTATACCAGCATGCGCATACGCTAGTTTTCATCAATCTTTTGAGAATTGTTGTATTCGCTAAACGCTCGCAAGGAATTTCGGGCCCATTGGTCATCCAGTAGGGAAGACGATGAGGAATTTATGCCTGAACTGGGTATGCGCCTCAGTTAATAGGGAATCAAAAACAAACATTTGTAATGGGTTGGAGCATTGAACGACCCATTCGTTACGCTATTCGCATTGTGTAATGCCTCGTTGTTCATTCACTGTTATAAAACGCTTTGTTACTCATATTAACGCGATTCCTTTCCCGACATCAAGCCTGCCTAAGGTGAATTCGTCAACAAGTCCCTAGCACCGGTGTGGCTCAGTGGTAGAAAATTGGGCTGGAACGCAGAATACCCTGGTACGAACCCTGCTGTATCCTCGGGGCTAGCTCTTTTTTTTCTTATTTCACGATAGTGGTTACGCACACCGGCGGTGGCGGCAGCAGCGGTGGCGGACAACATGAGCACAGCGCGTGACCCGAGGTTTGATATCATAACGTCTTTCGCTGTAAAAGTCACAGGGCTGCTACGAAAGTGAACAGCCGGCCCAGAATAATGCTAAGCTTGCTGGCATTCCTTATGTACATCGCGTATCTAATCATTTGAAAAAGGTTGCCGAACATATTAATCAAAAGGTGGCCTTCTCTGCCCCGTTAAAAGTTTCCAGGCTCTGCAAGATGACTATCCCTTTTCTTAGGAAAGCTCCGACCTGCGTTGTGAACCATAAGAACAAGTATGTAAGCTGTCAGGCGGGTTTTGTCTACAAGATCCCCTTGTCGTGTGGTAGAGGTTACGTATATAGGTAGAACAACACCTCCCCTATTTTTATCGATGCCAGCCAGATGTGCCCGATTCAGCCATTCACCACCCTCTCCTCTAGCCTCTTCCTTCCTCTCACCCATCTCCTAGCCATCACGTGTGGTTTGCTGCCATGGGGGAGGGAGCCCTAAGGGATCCTCCTCATGCAGTGCCTCACGACGGAAATTATATGAAGTATTTTTTGTTCAGTTGTGTTCAGATCGATGAGGTGACGTCTTGCATTTTTCGTGTTCACAATATTGGCAGTTACGCTGGCTCTGTGAAACATACGTTCTTTGAGATCGCGTGTCTCCTTTGGTGGTTCAATAGGCGTCAGACTCTGCCCACTTGGCGCTGCGAAAAACACCGCCACTAGCGCCCTTATCGACGCATCGGAATAAATGGGTAGTGCAAAGCTAGCCGTCCGCATGCGAACGTGCTTATGTCCTCCTCTTTCATAGGTAGAAAAGGTGGTTTGCTGCGAGTCAAGGACCTGGAAAGCTTCTTCCTTCAATCACACTCAGCTTCAGAAATGCAGGAAGCTCATCAAAACGAACTGTGGGTACAATGTGAAACATGTTTCACTTGTATCGGCGAACTGCAACTGGCAATTTAAGTGCAACGAGCATCGCCTGATTTAAAGTATGAGGCAAGCACTGGGACGTGCGTTCTGCAGTGCCTAAATGCGTTAAACTTGGGCATATACATGACGTCAAAGTGAAGAGGTGCATACACGAACCATTTATGTAGTCAGTGGTACGAAGCTCGCTTTATCCGGCATGAGTGACCCTGGTGATTTTCGCTTTGCCATTCGATTCTCCAAATATTTCTTGCTTCCTGCGCATTGAACTGTTTTATTACGCATGCTCGAATGCTCTGGTGACGGTTGTCTTCCGTTCGTATGTACTGCAAATGAGGATACATGCGTGTCAGCTGTTTCAGTGTCCAACGAAAGGCAGAACTGATGCTTTCGAAATAACTCCGGCAACCACGGAGACCAATGGCCAGAAAAAACTGACTCTGGTTGTGATAATTTTGTAATTTATCTGCATGACGTATGTTATCGTATTTTCTAGTTAAAGCTGAAACTTTAGGTCTTTAAAGTCTTGCGTGCGTAATGCTGTGGAACTTCAGATATTCTGTGTTCGCGGCATGTGCGATGTTTATCACGCGCGTCACCTGTTCACTGCTGCACAGCACGCACCGCAGTCAAACTCTGTTAATCTTCATAATCAAGGTTGATTTGATATGTGGAGTTCAACGTCCCAAAATCACCATATGATTATGAGAGACGCCGTAGTGGAAGACTCCGAAAATTTCAACCACCTGGAGTTCTTGAACGTGCACCGAAATCAGAGAACACGGGCTTACAGCACTCTCGCCTCCATCGGAAATGCTGCCGCCACAGCTTGGATTCAATCCCGTGACCTGCGGGTCAGCAGACGAGTACCTTAGCCACTAGACCACCACGGCGGATTCATAATCAAGGTTATCTCGGTTTTCCGCGAAAGCTACTCAAAACAATAACACAAGACCTACATTATCAAACTTTCTCGAGTGAACGGCTGTGGAAAGCACGAGTAATTCACTTACACATCACGTTCGCAACAGCCCGTATCTTGCGCTCACGCCATTTTGCTTCACAAAAGCTGCGTAATTCAGTAAAACTGAAGTTCTTTACGTCCGTAGCAATTTACAGCACAACAGTAGCGTCGACTGAGGTCTTTTTTTTTGCAGGGCACGAAGCTGGTGCGCCGCAAAAACTCATGCAACCAGCAGTAACGCCACAAGAAACTGCGAGAAAGAGTCGCAGTGGTTGTAGTGTGGCTGCCTCAACGTTTGAACTTGTCAGTACCTGCCTCCTAAATGTAAAAAAAAGAGGAATGTAGAGGGCGCTGCCAGTCCCCTTGAAGCATGTTCTCACAAGGGATACAGTCTACCAAGAGCATATTTGAAATTTGGGGAAAGGGGAGAACGTTTTTAATGGTTTCTACTTGCCAGCTTTCTGCCTTGTTTCTTGTCACCTGGGCTGAACAATGACAGCTTCGACTGTTCCTATTCAAATTCAAATTTCATTTCAACATAAAGGAGGCACTTCAAAAGTCAAAACAGTAATGCTGTGTGGTGAAAGCAAAAGGCCATGAAGGCTTGCGGTGGCTTTCGCACCATTACGCAATATAGCAACAGCAACAGTCATTGCACAATATAAAAACAAACATTACATAGGAAAGGAACAGTAGGAATGTTTTATTGCAGGCAACTATTTATAGTTACTGGTAGTAAGTATAAGTAGCACATCCATTGTCTGTTTGGCTCTTTTGCCTGCCGACTACGAATGAACAGTTACTTAAGTGTTGCATGTTAACAAACTCAAAGGAACATAAACAGAAGAAATTAAAAAAATCGTAAAGAGGGCGCGTGTGTGCTGACGCCAGCGTTTCGACAAGTCGACTTGTGTTCTTCATGGATGTAACTGGTTTGCGAAGAATGAAAAAGAAGGAGAAGGCAACTTCGATCGCAACTGTGAAGAGAGGTGGCCGTGAGAAGTCTCCCCCAGCTTTACCCTTTTTTCGCAGTGGCATTCCCATCCTCCACTGTCTAAACTGGAAGAGATGAGCCTGAAGCATATGTACTTATAAACGCTAAGGAAGGCACTTGCATTCTTGAAAAAGACAGGCCCGCCTGTCGAAAAGGCGTGGCTATAGCACACACCCCACTGTGTTTATGCATGTTTGATGGCAGGCTTCTGTCTTTACCTGACTGCTGTCCGTTGTTTGGAATGCACACAAAACGAGGAGACACAAAAACGGGATAGTGCTTGTTCCTTCCCGCTTGTTAAAATACACAACTTCAGTTATCACCACGTTGCTGAATTTTCCGCGTTGAATACCAAACTTTTGTCCAAGTTTTTGTCTTAGTGATATACCCGGAATATTACCAGAGTACAAGGGTTCTACAAGGAGGTGACCGCTTGCTCATGGTTTCTCGAAACAGAAATAAACCATAGGACACCTCATTGCATAGTAAAAGCGTGCGATGGGCCAAAATGTAGAGCTGAACCTAGCTGCCTTCAAAGTGTGACCTCATTTTCTTTACAATCTAATTGTCTTGGTTCGCATTTTCGACGCAGTTGGACAACGGCTACACGTCAGGATTGTTCAGTGGAGCAGGCCCCTTCAACGGCAGACCTGGCCCGGGAGGTCCACAAGGCTTGCCGGGACCCCGGGGTCACCAAGGCGCCAAGGGTGATCCGGGGCCTCCTGGACCGAAGGGACGTGATGGGCCCCAGGCAAGAAATTTTCACCACAAGACGCTGCTAAGTTCTTGAGGAAATGCTTAGCTCAAATTGATAGAAGGACAAAAAGGGAGCACACACTACACAAACACGTGCGGTGTATCAGCTTTCCCTTCATTGCGGAAAGCAGTACGTTGGTTAAATGGGGCGCTGTCAGCTTGACAGTTTATAAGAGCACGGCCACCTTGTAGAGAAGGATAACCATGGTTGGCTCGCCATGCATTGAAGAGCTTTTGGGTTCGATCTGTTGAGAGCATCAAGGTGTTCTTAATACACAACAGTGAACCAACCAAACATATATTAGAAGCCACCAAAATAGCACAGTTGGGTAGTGATGGCGTAAGCACGCTATCCCTGTCAGAAGAAAAATTGTATGTTTTGAACACGTATTAGTTTTGTGATTGTTTTGTATATTTTGTTAAATGTGTGTTAAAAATTATGCATTCAGTTCTCTGTACGTCTCAAGTAAAACTCGGAACGATAAAAACTGCTTCTCCGCGCATGATATCTGGCTGTAGTGTCCTGCAACACAACTGTGTATATTCGTGTTTCGGTAAAAGTAATGCTTAAGAGCGTAGCATTTTGGCCGTGTTGTGTGATACTGTCGTTTCCTAGTGCACGAAAAAACACACGGACAGATGAGGACGCGAGACAGGCGCTACTTGAAACAATGTTTGTTACAAAAAAAGGCAACCATATAATCGGCAACATCGCTGTTCAATCGTCATGATCGCACTTTGTAAATTCAGATGTTTCTGTAGATAGGCTAACTATTTACATGAAATGGTAATAGGTGGTTTACAAATACAGTTATCTGCCAGGCGATCGATCATTTCAACCTCGATTACTTCGTGGGTCAGCTGACCTTTCCTCGTACCGGCAATCGAACACTCTTTAAAAGTCGGCATGCACATGGTAAAGACATCACCACTTGCGCTGTCATTTGAATTACTGCAATGCCTGCAGTGAGCATCGAGGAAGCCACCTTTTTTTCTTTCATCTTGTAGCGGTGTCCTTTTTAACGTTCATTTACGCACCACTCACTTTGATCTTCATAATTTTCGCCATGTGTCGACGAATGCTTGTATAGAATGGCGTCATTGAACTCTATGAACCTATTCTTATGCTTTGTTTTGCGTTCCTGCTTGTTCCACGAACCAGGTCTGCACAGGCTCTGCAATTTTGTGGGAGCAATTTTAACCTTAGACATCGAAACGCATGGGAGCAACCACATTCCAACTTATATGCGAATAAGGGTTCTTACTAATTCCTCTCCTAGGACCACAATACAAAGAATTGATTGGTCCAAATTTTAGTGACTCATGAAAAATACATTACCTGCAGACCCTGAGCAGAACTTAGAAAATGTCATCAAAGAGGCAATGAGGGAAGTTTCTTGTCTCCTCCCTTTCACCGGTAAGCGTTCAGATTTCGACGTTGAACTGAAAAAACTGTGTGCGCTTCACCGAAGGGCGGCAAGGAGATACAGACGGACAAAAGCAATATGCGACTTGAGGCTGGCACGACGCATACAGAAAAAAGTCAAACGATGTTAGACAAACTTGAACAGGAACGCTGGAAATCATTTTGCGAAACATTGGATACCCGAAAGCTGCTGTCATGCATCTGGAGCACTATTCGTGGCCTGCACTCGACTCCCCAACAAAGAAATCTTTTCATGGCTTTAGCCCTACATTTAGGCTGCACCCAACATGAGTTTTGTACGCGAATCGCTGGTGTGTCCGCCTTGTCCGCTGGCACCGTTAAGAGTGTTATCCTTGAACCCCGCATCTCCGAAATGGACAATCTTTTCACTATAGAAGAACTTGACGCATCTTTGGCGGCTTCCCGACGATCATCTTCACCAGGACCCGATGGCATCACCTACTCCGCTCTAGCTAACATTCAACAAGAGGCCAGGGGACAGTTGTTATGCTATTACAACCACTCATGGCAGGCGGGCATTGCTCCATAGGATTGGAAGATAAGTCGACTTGTGCCACGACTCAAACCAGGAAAGTCACCATTTAATTTGACATCATTTCGCCCCATTGCCCTCGCATGTTGCGTAGAAAAAGTCATAGAAAGGATGATACTTACACGCCTAGAATGGTACTTCGAGCGCTACCCAAACTGAATGATGCGTTTTCGGCGAGGTAGGTTATCTCTTGACAACGTGATTGATCTCACAACATTTATCCAGCAACAGAAGAGCCTCAAGCGCATACCACTTGCACTCTTCCTCGACGTCAAAGGGGCCTATGATAACGTATCACATAAAGCCATTCTAGACTCGTTGGAAACTGTCGGAATCGATGGTCGGATGTTCCAATGAATCCAGGAATATTTGACGAGAAAGTCCTTTCTTGTACAAACCTCAGATGGACCTACCACCAATTACTATGCCTTTCATGGCGTCCCTCAAGGCGCCGCATTAAGTCACACTTTATTTAACCTCGTGATGGTAGTCCTTCGTGAAATTTTGCCAAGTACTATCCTCATATCCATATATGCTGACGAAATTTGTCTATGGAATTCGGGTGTAACTCGTCTACAAGTACATGCAAGGATCCAGCAGGCTGCCACCCTGACATGCTGATATCTCCGCCAGCAAGTTCTTTCCGTCTCAACGGAGAAATGTGCATTAGTTGCGTTTACTCGCAGAGAGATGACACAATACCCCGTTACAATCAATGAACAAAATATTCCATACCAAAAGAACCATTGCTTCTTGGGTATGATTATTGACAGGGACCTTTCGCTGAGTGCCCACTGCAATTACCTGAAGAGAAGCCTAACTTACATCGTCCATATAATGCGGTTTCTCTGCGGAAAATCTTGGAGCACATCGATAAGTTCAATGATGCAGCTATACAGGGCACTGTTTCTAGGATTTTTGCACTACAGCTTGCCGTTACTGGCAAGTACGTGCAAGACGAACATTCGCATCCTCGAAAGTCTGCAAGGACAAGCACTACACGTGTGCTTAGGATTGCCGTGATGCACCTCAACCTACGGGGCAATTATGATCGCAAGAGAGCATGCAATGCAACCATATATCACCACTGACAACGTGACACCTCTGCCGAGTTTCTGGTCACCATTTTGCAGTGTTGCCCCTTCAAAGACCTCAAGCGATGTTTTTAAAGATTATTTCTGCCCATAGCGAATGCCTTCCTTTTGTCTTCACTCCAGCAACAAGACCAGCGTCACCTCCGTGGTGCCCACAACAACCACTGGTGTGCCTCACTATTCAAGGGAATAACAAACAAGAGCCGTCATTCAACAGTGGTCCTATGACAGGTGACATTGTCGCTACTCAACGAAAAATAAGGCCAGAGGACCCACATTTACACCGATGGATCGGTCTCGGCTGACAGCTCCACAGGTGCTGTTGTCATCCCGATGTACCAGGTCACTATAAAGTTCAAACTGTCGCATAGGACAACATCCACAGCAGCGGAGCTTGCCGCCTTACGTGCTGCTATACTTTATATCGCAGAAGCCCGGCCTCAAAAATGGGCTGTGTTCTGCGACTCCAAGGCATTCAGAGCTTGCAATCAGCTTTACGACAAGTGGTGTATCAACAACTAGTGAATGAAATAAAAAAAGTGCTTCACGAAGTTTTATCGAAAGGACATGTCGTGGTGTTCCAGAGGTTACCGGGACATTGTGGTATTGTTGGTAGCAACCTTGTTGATAATGCTGCCCGATCCGCCCACGCGGACGCCCAGACAACCCCAATTCCGTTGTCGAGAACCGACGCTGCAAGTGGCCTTCACTCGTTCGCTAACAGCATGTGGGAAACTTGGCTGAGTGAACCTAGTGTCGGGAACCGCCGCCTACACAAATTGTACCCATCGAGAAAGCTTCAAGTTCTAACGGACCTCTCTCGCCAGGATGCAAGTTTACTGTGCCGCCTGTGGTTAGGAGTAGCTTTTACGAAGGCGTACTCCTTTCGCATAGGAATGGCGGATAGCTCCCGATGTCAATTGTGAGACACTGATGAGACAATAGAACATTTACTGTGTTCATGTGAACGTTTTGCGAGCGAACGCAACTTGCTACGGGAAACGTTAGAGACACTAGACAGTAGACCTTTTTCCGAAGAGAAGATCCTTGGTTCATGGCTCTACGCATCGCAGGCCAGCAAAGCGATGCGGGCACTACTAAGTTTTCTAAAGACAACCGGACTACATGACCGCTTAAGCGTGCAATGGGCAAGGTCACATCTATACACACGTTGCCCCCCCACTTCTCTCTCTCTCTTCTCTTTTAATCCCCTCACCCCTTCCCCTAGTGCAGGGTAGCGAACCGGACGTGCGTCTGGTTGACCTCCCTGCCTTTCATTTCTTTCTTTCCTTCCTCCTCCTCCTCCTCCTTTTCTCGTGTCTGTTGGGAGCTGGCTTGCGGGAGTCTTTTTTGCGAAATTAAACTTGAGAATATCATCCGCTACACTGACAAGCACATGCGTAGGGTAAGGCTCGGACCAAAGACAACTGATTTGTTCGATGAACCTACAGCTCATGCGCTCAGGAAATGACTTGCGTAGGGCACTTAGCAAGCAATTTTTCGCTATTTCCCTCTTCACCACCTTAGATGTGCCGACTAATATAGAAGTAGTGTTTTGTTGGCGCGAGGCTGGTACTTGCAGTGGACGCCTTCATCATGGAATAAAAGCGTAACGTCCAGAAATTTAATACTGCCGTCAGCTGGCAGCGAATGTGTCACAACTAGAGAGGATAAGCCCTGTCGTTGGGAGGCACTTGACAGGAACATAAGTGATCGGGCTCCCAGATTTGAAAATTAAAAAAGTTAGATACGTCAATAATATTTTTCTTTTTTCCTAGCTGTAGGGCTCATTCTTTTGGTTCTTTAGGCAATGACACTCTTTCCTTCGTACGTGAGGGCTTATTCTCTCTAGTTGATCTATATGCGGGGTTTAACGTCCCAAAACCACCATATGAACATGAGAAACACCGTAGTGAAGGGTT